TATATTAATCTTAAATGGCGCGCAAAATTTCAAATTTATCAGCTTCATATACGCGACTCTGATTGGTTGAATTTTATACCCTTTTCAGGATACAAGAGCAAGATTAGATTAGTCTCGATATTATGAAAAAGAGAGGATGGAGCATTAATCTCGATATCCACCATTCTAAAGTTTTCAGCTCTGAACAAAGATTTTTTGAAGAAGAAATAGAAAAATGTTCAGACTTTAAGGTTAATTTAATCTTAATACAACATCAAAAAAGAATCTAGAATTAATGGAATAAAGGAATTAAGTTTTTGTCTCAAACTAAATTTTCTAACCCCTATATCTTTGCAACCTAACAGTATACATCTGTGATATTTTAAACTTAGAGTCTTTGATCTAACAGAATTCATAGTTTGAAATAATTAAGGTCAATAACTTTTGGTTGTCCATGTTAAGGGATTAAAAATTCAAGTTTGTGGCATAACCAGATAAGCCTTTAATAATGTATTAATATCCAGTAAAGAAAGGTTTTATTTCTCTTTTTTCGAAATAAATAGTTTTAAGAATTTTCCCTATCATGTTAAACAAACACTTAAAGAGTTATCTTTTCAAAATAAAGCGCTAAATCTTTTTTCTTTTTAGCAAAACAGTTTTCTTAATTATTTGGATCAATATCTTTTGTCAGAGTAAATGTTTGAATAGCCTAAAAAATGATTAAAGGGATTATAAACGTAACGTTCAGTTACCCTCTATGTATAGAGTTGTATGTCAGATTTAAAATGATAACCTTAAAAGCTTTGATCAGATTAAGCATGAAAAAGATATCCATTATTTTCTTTATTTATTTTCAACTGAGGTATCTCTCCAGAAATGACTTTCAGTCAATAAACTTTCAGCGATATATTTTTCAGTCAATAAACTTCTAGACTCAAAAGTTTCATTGAGGGTCAACAATTTTAAGTACTCATTTCAGCTCGTTCTCCTTTAAACCTCAAATCTCAATCATAAGGAGTACAAGATTTTGTCAATTGGAATGCTGTTTTCATTGGAAAAAAAAAACTAGAAGAGTTTTTACAGATAAATATCTTTCATAACAGGGAAGAATGTCTTGCAACAGAAAAACGGACAAAATTTTGAAGATGAATATTTTTCAAAATAGAAAATGACGATATTTTCCAATTTATTAATCAGATAAAGATTTTTAAGGTACATTTTTGAGTCGGTCATGTTATTTTGGCAACTATTTTATTCAATTTATTCAATATTTCAATTAAAACTTTTCTAGTTATAATTTGTTAATGAGTAGCGAGAAATAATAATTAAACTTTTTTGAAAGTTAAGAATCTGTGTAGGAGAAAGGACTGGTTCTAGTATTTAATACCTGTAATTTTTCTTAATTAATCAATTTCTGAATCCGGTATTATACATGATTAATTATTTTCTTAAATAAATTGATTTGATAAAATTGCTGCATTTTCACAGAGCACACTTAATTCAAATATGTGAATTTACAAAACAAATTGATTTTTTACATTTTGAATTTGTATTAGAAAAAAACATGCTTTAAAATTATTTTGTAATAAATTGTAGGTGTTAATTTAGCATTTTAATTATGAACTTAATTAAAAATATTTTAAAGTTGGGATTTCTAAACAGTAATCAGATGCATGCAGTTTTCCCATTTTATAAGGAAAAAAAGAATTATGCCAATCTTTCCATAAACTCCTGAAAGAATATCTTCCAAACCCCGACCCCATTTCAGGAGTTTTGATTTAGTACCTTGTATTTCATGAGTTTGTATTTCATGAGTTTGTATTTCATGAGTTTGTATTTCATTTCTAGAAAGAATCATTATTATGGGAGCATTTGAGTTAAAGAATATAAGATGCAATTTAAGTTTAATTTCATTTGTTTGTATTTCATGAGTTTGTATTTTTTAAGTTTAATGATTAAACCAAATAAATTTAGTTTTCCTTATTCTTAATATTAAAACTATTTTATTCCGACTTAGGGAATATACTTCAAAATTAAAGGTTTTTTAAGTCAACACACAAACAAACAAACAAACAAGATATAATAATAGAGAAATCATTAAAAAAAAACTTCGCCAAATTTTAAGAAATTTCTTTTTTTTCGGAATTATTGCTTTAAAACAATTCATTCATATTTAACAAGGGTAATTCCTTTTTAAAAGATTAACAATTTTTTTTTGTATTTCAATTTAATAGTTTAGATTAGTGATTGTATCTTTTCATATTTTGAATTTCTTTACTGTTTTATTTTGCACAGATGTTTATATCTTAATCTTAACGACAAATCTAACATTCGTATTAAATCGACAGTAATTTTTTAATTACCCGCCAGCGGGAGGGAGAAGACATTATAATGATCTAAATTCATTTTGTCATGTTTTACGTACCATGATAACATAAAGGTGAATACTTTTCAAAAAAAAATTGATTTTGAAAATTTTTACGGCAAAATTAATTGTTGATGCGTCAGGTGTCTTATTAAATTGGCCGAATTAGTCCAATTAAGTTTTTTTTTGAGGGAAATTAATAATTACAAGAATTGTAATTATTTAAAAAGAAATTATGAGAATTTTACTTTACACAAGATTTCAATGAACAATTTTGCCTAAAACATCAAAAGCTCAGCGGGGTGTGGTAACAGTTCGCCGAAATCACGTTTCACCCAATCACGTTTAACCTAAAACGTTTCCCCCAACATCACGTTACACCCAATACATACATTTAACCCAAATTTCTCACGTTTTGCCCAAAAATTCTATAGCCAATATTATTTTGAATTTATAAAAGTTATATGTTTTATATAAGGATACAGTTGATATTCTGTTTTCGTAGGCATCCTCTCAAAGCCCAAACATGACCCCCTAGCCCATTTCTAGCCGCAGCGCTTGGCCTAGAAATTGTCTTAACCCAGCCTTATTAAAAAAAATGTGAGAGACAGCAAACTATTCAACATTAAAGAGGTCGCAGCGGTTAGAATCGTTAAAAACCAACTTTTCTAGTAGCCGTTAACGGTGCCAGTCATTAACGAGACGTTAACGGTTATTTTACGAAAAGTAACTGGAAAAATTTGAACATGAAAAACATCAAAACATGTCATATTTTGATCTATAGTTTAAAATCCGTCAAAAGTAGCGTAAGGACTTTATTATTTTACCGCCTTTTGACCAACATTACCGACCGATGATTCCTTTAACAGAGTGAGGCCAAGTTACTTAACGTCCCTTGGAAAAGTTATGTAAAATAAATTTGCGCATTTTCATCTCAAAATACAATAAAATTGTGTACAACTTCCCTCGACCAATTTTGTCTACAAAACATCTCCCACTACGCTCTGGATGTTTTGTAGGCAAAATTGGTCTTGGGAACCCTTGGTAAAGTAAAATTCTCTTAACTTTCCTGTAAAGTAGTTGTAAATAATTAAAAATATATTGGCCAACAAAAAAATATATAATAGCAAATACAAAATAATCTTTATTTAAGGGGTGAATATAGGTTCTAAAGTTTTACTATTTGGCCAGGATTCCTATAGGTTAACCGTGGAGGAAACCCATTACAGTCTCAAAATGGCTTATTTAGTTATTTGGCAAAGAAAGAAAGAATTTCAGGGAATCATGAATTTAAGGAAACAGACAGAATAAATTCCTTACAGTCGTCTCTGAAGTCTTCTGAACTGGATCAAAATCTATCGAATTTGCGTTTATTTTGAGAAAGATAGAATTAAAAAAGATTGACTCCAAAAATACTACATTCAAATCACAACTCTCTTTTAATTTGAATTTCTACTATGACTTTGCGACCTTGCAAATCCTTTACTTCCCATTTTTGCATTCAATTTAGATTATATTAACGAATTATTTAACTTACTTATTGATTGTCAGAACAAGGGATTTGAGTTTAAAGATATGCAAGATTTTAAACTAGGCTTAAGTGATCTTAAGGCTTAACTGGACAGGAGGAGAAAGTAAAAATTTCACGCTGAACTGGACAGGAGGAGACGGTAAAATTTCACGCTGAACTGGACGGGGAAGAAAGTAAAATTTCACGCTGAACTGGATATTAGGAGAAGATAAAATTTCACGCTGAACTGGACAGGAGGAGAAAGTAAAATTTCACATTGAACTGGACAAAAGGGAGTTAGTATAGAAAACACAGAAGATTTTCATCTCAAGTGCAATTTACTTTAGATTGATGTGATTTAAGAAGTTAAATCAGAAAAAAATTGCACTAAAGGGACTGCACACGAAATTTTAAGTGATTCTCCATTTATAGAGTGGCAGGCGTTCTTAAAAGGAACCCTCAAGAGACTTGGATGACAAGAATAAATGAGATATCAATGTTTTAATTTTGAAAATTGTTTATTTTCAATTGTGTTTTCTCTATAAAAGTGACCTAAAAAAAATAATGAAATTCAACCCTATTTACGAAATAAAAACGACGCAAACTTTCTTAATCTTGATCAGGTAAAGGATTAAATACTGCCACTTGATATTACATCGACAATTCCTTAAATTCTCATATTTTTTGCATTTATCTGAATCCCCTGTCAGCCCTGTAATGTGCATACATCACATAAGTAAAATTATTAGCATTAAACGGCTAATTATTAACCCAGTCCCCCAATTATCCTCAGTAATTACTTAGCTATTTAAACTGGTTTATTTAGATGTGTAAGGTGTAAGCTCTAATTGTCTGATTATTAATAAGATGATGATAGTGTTGTATACAGGTGTAATTAAGCTGCCAATAAGTTTAATACAAACCTATTTTATTCTATTTCATTCAAACCCAAACCCAGGTTTCTTCCTTCCCCGCCACCGGTTTTAATTAGTCCACGAGGATTCTAACAGGTCGAGGTTGGTTCCAGCGGATTTTTCCACCAATCGGCGTCCATGGCGGCAAGGGCGAGCGGATTTGCCGCTGCCGTGGAGAAACCGATGATGACAGCCACCTGTAGACCGTGTAAGATCGGCGTAGGATAGAGCCGCCTTCTCTCCTCAGTTTAAACCAGAGAGTAGAGCAAAGAGTAGTGTTTACACAGTGATTCCGTTCTAGAGTGCTCAAACACAGTTTTTATGTTTTGACATCGGCATTCGGCGGTCATAGAATTGGTCAAATTAATACTTTCTTAAAAACATCACTGCCGTCATTTCAACGGTGGTGAATGCTCGACTAGTTCGACAACTAGTCGAAGTTTTAGTGTCGACCAGATCTTTAAATCCGTCATCACGTTGAACTTTGGAGATTTGTCCGGAGCACCTTACAGCTCCGGAAACCATAGTGGAGGAGGGTCAGATAACGAGTCCGAGCATCAAGTAAAATCTTTAATGGAGCTGCAGCAACAAGGAATACCTGGCTACGGGCACTATAGAAGTTTATACAACAACGGAGGGGGAAACCATGATCCAGGTTTTCCCCCGCAGAGAGGGCACATTGGGTACCCTTTCCCCCCTATGCCCGGGCAAAACTATGCCGGGTATGCCCACCTTGGATATCCCTCCAGTCAATCTCCAGGACCAAGAGAAGGTAAAAAGTTATAGTTTTTAATATGCTGAAGTGTCGTTCTTCGTTTAGAACAAAAAAAATAGTTAAACATTCTTTACAATTACACATAGTGGGAAAAATAGAAAGTTTAAGACTTAAAATAAATTAAATAAAAATCTAAATTCAAGCTCTTATTTTTGATGGGACAAATAAAAAATCAAGTATTTTCGAATATCAACAAAGGACAATTTTAGGAGTAATTTAAAATTTTGTAATTTAATGTTTTAATGTTTACAAATTCTTATTTTCATCGCGTGTTAATACTTGTGTACAGTTGGTTCTTTACAAGTTTATGGCTCTTTTTCTTATGTTTTATGGCCCTCCATTCGTAAAAATATTCTTTATGCCTGCTTTGTAAAATCATCTTACAGTAAATAGTTAAAATCTAAAAATATCTTTCTTTGTTTAAGCAGAAATAAATCCTTATAATAAAAATTTTATCTTTAAAGAAAAATAACGCAACAATAAAAACATTTAAAATTAAAGTTTACTATAACCTAAATATATCGTAAAGTAGAGTAAACTTGATATTTATGCAGAAATAACATACATTGGATTTAAAACTTAAAAGTTGATTTATTGGTATACTTAACAAATCTATTTACTGCATGCTTGTGGTCGTTAATAAAGAGTTACCAACGACGGTAAACATAATTTATTTTAAAAGTAAACTATGACAGATATTTCAAATTTTAAATTTATGCTTTATTTTTCTCTTGAGCTGTCTAATTATAGAGAAACACATGTGTTTGTTTCTCCAGCAAGTTCACTCATGAAAACTTAATTTTTTCATTTCATATCATCAACTTTATGGACTTTTAATCCTGAAAATCTGGACTTTTACAGATTTTCTTTAACATTCGAACAAGTGGGTTAAATTGAATATCTCGACAAGAAAACCTAGACCATCATCAATACATATTTCACACGTTGTTCCAGCAAAAAGAATTGGTAAAATTCATGTTTCTGGATTTTTTACAAAATTTCGTGCGTTCGTGTCTCGCATGCGCTCTGACTGCGTGTCGTCAGTAAAGAATATTTCTTCCAAGTTTTGCATCAAAAACACTTTCCCACAATCCGTCCGATGCACCTTATTCTCATTTAATACGGATCGATACAAAATATTTGCCAACATTTTGCAAAAAAACAAGTTTTATAATTTTGAAGTTTCCCAAAAAAGTGATTATGTTGTCTCCTGTTGTGAGTTTTGTGAATTGACAGAGTGGTCTGTTTTAAGGTGTAAAAACGAATTAAACGCTTAATTCATCAAAATCAGAAATTTCCGTCAACTAAATAACCGGTATTATTTGATAATACGTCATTTTAATTTCGTGTTTCGAGTAGAAAAAAGTCATCACGGAAACTCCGGTCTTCGGTATCGGAAGTGTTTTCTGAAATTAATTTTGTTTGTTTTCCCGGATTTTCTCAAAGACAATGTTGGCGGGTTAACTTTACCACACCCCCCCCCTCCCTCCCTCCCCAACTACCTGCTGGGTTGGGGTCAGGCTGGATAATTATCGGTCAGTCTGTAAGGGTGCCGACATCAATAACTTATTGAATGGATCTTTTGTTTCACCGAATTATTCTTTTTATACTTTTCAAATCAATATAAACGGTCATTTTTGTTAAAATATTAATATAAGATATGTATCAATATATAGGCGACATTATTTAATTATTGTTTAGAAAACTAATTGCACCTTTAATTGTGTGAAAAAAAGTTCATTGACCTTAATTAAGTATTCTGCGTACAGTTTTAATGCAGAATTGCGTTTGCCCGATGAGAGATTGCAATTTTAATGATAATTACTGATAATCAGGGGGTTGTTCCAGCCTGGTGCAACTATAATTATAAAAACCTGTTCCTAGCTCTTATTAAATCGAAACAGGGGTTTCGTGAGACGGCCCGATCACAGTTTCCGAAAAATACTTGATTCACAAATTATTTTCTGATATTTCCACAGAGTTGGGATTTGAATATTAATAAAAACAAGCATGCAAGGAACGTCAAGCATCCATTTAAATTTTTATTTCAAATATCGTTCATCGAGAAATTATTTCAAGCCCCCGTATTTTTTAAATGATGTTTTAAAAATGATATAGCTAGTGTAAAAAAAAACTTACATTAAAACTGCTTTCTATCAGATGCGTTTGAAAAAATTGGTTTTAATTGGTTAATTTTTATCTAGGTCTTTTCCAGTTTTCTAACGAGTCAAAGTTTTCTGTTCAACCTGTATTTTCATTGTAGAATGTTAAATAATAATGGTTTAATTGTGAGAATTATGGTTAAACAACATTCATTCTAGTTGTAAAGGTATTTTCCCGGAGATAGATAGATACAAATATGTACATATCTATATCTATATGCAAAATAGACACATGGACAAATAGACAAATAGACACATAGACACATAGACACATGGACAAATAGACACATAGACAAATAGACACATAGACAAATAGACACATAGACAAATAGACACAACATAGGAAAATAGACAAATAGACACATAGACACATAGACACATAGACAAATAGACACATAGACAAATAGACACATAGGAAAATAGACAAATAGACACATATACACATAGACACGTAGACAAATAGACACATAGAAAAATAGACATATAGACAAAAAGACATATAGAAAAATAGACGTATAGACACATAGACAAAAAGACACATAGACAAATAGACGCATAGACAAATATACACATAGACAAAAAGACACATAGACAAATAGACACATAGACAAATAGACACATAGTCAAATAAACAAAAAGACACAGAGACAAATAGACACATAGAAAAATAGACACATAGTAGACAAATAGACACATAGACAAATAGACACATAGTCAAATAAACAAAAAGACACAGAGACAAATAGACACATAGAAAAATAGACACATAGTAAAATAGACAAAGAGACAAATAGACAAAAGACAAATATACACATAGACACACAGAGACAAATAAAAATTCGACAAAAAAATAGACAACTAGAAAAATAGACACTTATAATAATAGTCACATAGACAAATATAAAAATACCCAGAAGGCTCATGGACAATAGACAAATAGACATTTATTATTATGAAACTATATTGTACTTTATCATTCTTACTCACTTCATCGTGAATTTCATAGGGAACAAGCTATAAAGTAATCATCGTGCTATAATGTTAAATTAGCTGTATATTATAGCACGTGTGCTATAAAGTTTTGATTGGTTCCAGGGATTTCTCATATTTTGAAATGAAAATAAAATTGAAATCAACTTTATATTTTGACTTCTGCTTTGTTTCAAAGCTTATTTGATCTAGAAACAGACAAGTACACAAACGTTTCAAAAAATTACCTATAACACTATTATTTTGGCACTACGTGCTATAAAGTTTTTGGACTTAAATTTTCTCTGTATCTCGAAGGTTCTCGATAAAGAGAAAATTTCTGTCCAAAAACTTTATAACACTGCGAACCAAAATAACAGTGTGTTATAATTATCTAATCCCAAGTGTCCTATTCATGACCTTTTTTTAGAAAATTTTATTCTGTTGGTTGTCATTTTTGAAGCAGAAGAATGAGATAAAAAATACGCGGTTTAAAGTTTTTGCGGCGGTTTTGAGGGATTGTGGGCTAACCCAAGCTAAACTCCTATTGATGTTCATTCTCCCAGCTTTCCATACATTATTCATACAGGGTGTGGGATAGATTAATCTCAGCCTCTCATTGGATGCTCATAATCTCATCAGCCAATCAGAAGCCAGTATTCAGCAACTTAAATTTTACAATCCGTTTTACTTACACACGAAGTAAACTTTAGAGGTGTTAAACCCTGAACGAAGCTTTAAACCTTTTAACACCTAAAATAATGCAGAATATATTTCAGCGGAAAATCAAACCGTTTTCTCGGATTATAGTTCGCAGCCAAATGTTGTATCAAATCATGCTTAATAATAATTATATTTTAATAACTGTGTCTGCTTCGGTTTAATTAATCAAATCCTAATTAATTAACCCCTGTGTAGAGCACTAATTGATATTTGTTTTATTAATCTCAAACTTTTCTTCTCCCTGATATATTGTCTTTTCTCAAATTTTTTTTTCTTAACTGATCATTGATCAACATTTTTTATTTTCTTGTTGGAAATATGCCCGTCATATAATTATCCCATTTTTAAATTTGACTTGAATTGCGGAGTTTTCTTCCAAATCAGATTTTTGAAATATTGTGTGTATGATTAAAAATGCATTATTTTGCATTAATTGTGTCCTAACCTAACTTTGATCAAGCAATTTTTGTGATTACAAAGAATTGAAGATCAACGAGTGTTTGAACTGCAACATGCTACAATATTCTCTATAATTTATTTGTTCCAGGAGACAGTGTAGTTGAACACGGTGAGCTGATAACCCGTGTGAACGGGAAAGGGAAGAAAATTAGGAAGCCGAGGAGCATCTACAGTAGTTTACAGATCCAACAGCTAGAGCGCAGGTTCCAGCGTACACAGTACCTCGCGCTGCCAGAGCGAGCTGAACTTGCGGCCAGCCTAGGAATTACACAGACACAGGTAACACATCGTTGTTGATTAAAAACTTAATGAATAATTGTTTGGTTACACGGGATAATTAACTTTGACCCACAAAGGATGAAACTTCAGAGACGACAGTACGGAACTAATTTATTCCTATTTTCTACATCCCCGGCTCCAAAGCTTTACATGTCTCATTTCCTTAAAAAACCAATTTAGAGACTATTTTCAAGACCCCGACATTATACCCTCTAATACCTATTTAAAGAGTCTAAGATCGTTATTAAAGTCTCATTTTTGGTGAGTAAACCTGTATCTTTTCTTTATCAATCTGTTGCCTCAAAACAAATAAGTAATTTCTCTTGCAGAGAATTACAGTTCATAGTCTGAGCTTTCATATTAGTTTTGTGTCTTAATAACTATGAATCAAGTTGAAGTAAAAACATAAAAACGCAAAAAAATCATTTATTTTTGTACTGCTTAAATTGTAACTAAAATATCTACGTATTTCGTATTAATAAATATATATATATTAAGTATATACTTCAGTTCCCAGTCTTTTCTACAAGTCACTCCTCGACTGCCTAGAGCAACATTTTTTTGCAGACCTTTCAATTTCTTCCGGGCTTCTGATGTTTTACAAGGGGCTTGGATGATTCTTATTTTTATTTATCTATTACCACCCCCCCCCTCGTCCCTTCGGATATTTCTTTAGACAAGGCACTTATCATAACAGAATTATATAGAAAATTCATCTATACCAAATGAAGAAAAAACCTTATTTTAATTGATTAATTTATAAAACTGTTGGGAATTTTTTTTACTAAATCTGAGATTTGAAATCTGAGAAAATATTTTTGCGGTAATTTTTCCATCTTAAATTGAAGGTCACTTTGACTAGCATGCCAAAACTTGTGGCGCCCCAATAGTCTGGAGGGGGCGTGTCTAACCACCCTTCCCCGGCACCGTAGGCGTGTCCCCCTCCCTTAGCTGAGCAGGCAGGGGGCGGATCCCCCCCTCCCCACCCTGAGACATTGAGTCTGGTATAAGACCACTTGTGAGAGAGACCGACCCTCTCTCTCTCTCTCTACTCCTCACAACATCAGTTCATTAAGTTTATACCAGATCAAACAATGTCATTTCTTTTTCATAAACCTCATTAGCTCATAAAATCTTGATATTTCTGAATCTATCAACTCGAGAATAAATGTGTTGAAACGTTAAGATAAATAGATAATTAGGATGCATTGATAACCAGACCCCATACTGTGCTTACGTATACCAGTAGCCGCCCTCCTACTCAACCATTTTAGACCCCCCCCCCCCAAACTGGTGAGTGAATACCCCCCATGTATTGGTAAGTTGAACCCCCCACTGGGAGGTTCTGTGTAAACTATCCCCGGGTGCATTACAGGTCATTTTTAGGCAAATTCTTAACTTCTTCTTTTGATCTTCTTCTTCTTCTTCTTCTTCTTCTTCTTCTTCTTCTTCTTCTTCTTCTTCTTCTTTCTCTTTCTCTCTATAAACCTTCATGTAATATATTTCAAATTACAATTTCCCTGATATATATATATATAATATATATAAGGGCCGGGTCTATAAAACTATTTTTATGATGGTTCGAATTTGTAAACCCTTCAATTATCAATTTCTTACCATCTATCTATTCACTGCAATCTAGACGTAATGGCTTTCTATCTATCTATCTATCTATCTATCTATCTATCAATCAATCAATAATATCTCTTAGACAAGTTCAAGTTTCTAACTTATGCTTTTCTTCTATGAACAATGGTACAAAGTACATTAGTTCCCTTGTGTACTATGTACTGTAGAGTCCCTGTATTCTGTACCGGATGCTCTATTGTGCAGTGTAGACGTATTCTGTTCTACATTCAAGGATGGGAGCTTCTGCTACAGATCAGGGGTGTTTATACTCTCTACAACCCATCCCCCTATCCCCCCCCCTCCCTTCTTGCAATAATATCGTTTTTCAATTAAGATTAAATTTTAAACTAATATTTCCCCATGAAAAAATGTGAGAAATATTTTTGAGTAACTTTGATGGATTGAAGAACTAAGTTCATTATTTAAACTCTTTTGATGATTTTTTAATGGTTTAAGCAGTTCAGAGTGAAGGGATCATCTGAGAATATTTTTGAGAATAAAGGGGTCAACACCTAGTGAACTAAATCGGAACCTCGCTTAAACTTTAATTCAATTTGAAGAGATATAAAACTCTAAATATAATCTCTTTTAATTCGATCATGTTTTCACTTCGATCGTATTTTTTCTTAGTTTTTTGTTTAGCTTGCACAGGCTACACATGGGGGCTATAACAAAAAATGATTAATTGATTGATTCAGCTGTCCTAACAGATTCATTTGTTACAAGTTTAGAATTTTTGCAGAAACTTATTTTGTTGTAAAACAATATTAATTACTATAATTACTAGAAATAAGACAGACAGGCATAAAAATGTGTTCTTACTGAAAAATTGGCAACTGTTAATGAAATGGAAAATATAAATGTAGGCCAGACTTTTTCGATTTACAAATCAGCAAAGTTTTGCCTTCTTTCCATACATTAAAGTGCACTACTAGTAGTTTATGACATTTGTTCTGGCACAGTATAAACAAAGCAAATACACTGCATGTTATTGACTAAATAATAGAACCTGTCCAAACAGTCATTAAGACATATCAACCAAGAAAACCAATATTTTTCTGACTTTGAATAATGTTAGTGGATAGGAAGTTTCGAGGGGGGGGGGGGGAAGACACTGAAAGAGGGGTGAGGGGAGAAAGGGGGAATGAGGGAAAATTAGAACGGATTTGATTGACAAGGCACTAATGATTTATTGTTCACTAATTACCAAATAAGTCAACAAAATGTAAAATTTCTTTAATTCCCCCATTTTATCCCCCCCCCCCTCCTTCTTTTTTATATTTCATGTGTTCAATTCCCCTCAAAATTTGGCTTAAAAGTTGATTGACTCGTATAAATAATTAATATGAAAAGCTTGAAATTAATAATTAAACACGCCAAGTGGAACTCTTTGCGTAGATTTTATTATTAAATATAATCCCATGTATATACACATTATACAGTTCAGATCATTGGATAGATCATTAATGAGTTAATTACACTTTATCATGCAGAGTTATTAGTTAAATCATTTACGCAACAAGTGGAAAGAAAATACAAGCGTATAAATAAATTAAAATGAAGAAATTATGCTGGAGGAAGAAGGAGAGGGTAGATATTTATGGGGGTCACGTGTATCAACCCAATATGTACTACCAGCATTCACACACTTTCTACTTACAAATCAGTGCATTCAATGACCATCAATGTTCGTTAAAGGATAGTTAGTTTTACAGATAGTTGTTTTATTAGATAGATAATTTTTGAAAAGATAGCAAGTCAAGCTATGTGTAATATAGATTTGGTTGTTTAGCGAATTGTTTACAATTTAGGTATTATACTAGCTAGTTTTGTTATTTAGCTATGCTTAATTTGTTAGCTATTTAGCGAGTTGGTTAGAGCTAACTAACTGAATATTCATATATATATATATATAAATACTAGAGAACTAGAAATATAGTTGAATATATGATTTAAGTCACCACAAAGTACGGTTAAACACTTGTAAACATGCACAACATGCACATGCCTCAAACATCATGCAATCCAGATTCTTGGCCTTAAACACTCTCATGCATTGTCCTGTGTGAGTAGTGTGTATAGACCCATATTACAGTGTTATATTGAAGTTTTTAATGGATATTGATCGCTGTATAGCAGTAGTAGTTGTAGTAGTAGTTCTTCGGCTAGTTCATCATCTATCTATCTATTTATCTATCTATCTGCGAAGGTAGATACCCAAGAAGCTTTCAATCTAATTAGATTCTCATTAATTAAATCGGTATAAATTGCTATTTCTTCTATATCTAATCTAAGCTATAATTTCTTTTCTACCTTCTTACAAATCTATCTATCTATCTATCTATCTATCTATCTATCTATCTATAGAAAAAGATCAAGATGGGCGTGAAGCACCCTAAAAGTCTAGTATCTATATATCTATCTATCTATGTATATGTAAACTGGCGTATATTATGATTATATATTGATTTGTTCTCTGTGGCTCTCTCGTCCACGGTTGATTAGACAAAACCTTTACTTGGTTCAATTATCCTTTACCCTTTACATATACTACGTTCTACGTTTATCTATCTATCTATCTATCTATTCCATTAATGCTTGTGTATATTTATTACTGGCAAAATTAGAACTTCCTCTGTTAAACGTCTTGCTTTTCTGATTTCTCTTCTTCAGAATATTTTTTCTTTTTATTCTTTTTTTTTCCTTCCAAATGTTGATTCTGGTCTAGTTTAGATTTGTTAATGTAGTTTTTTCCAATTTCTCTTTTTTAATTTCTGCTTAAATCTTTATGATTTATTTTTGTGTATATTCTGTATTTAGTTCTACTTGTTTCTATCTGTACCTGTTATCATCTATAACCTGAAGAACCTGTTAATTTATGTGAAGACCAAAACTTGACAATCGTATTGTTCTCTCAGCATCTCTTTGTAATTACCGACGCGGTAAACTTCGCAATTTAGACAAGTGAAAATCCACCAAATCTTATTCGAAATAAATTCGCATTTGTAAACTAAAGATTTTCTGTATTTTCATTTTGTGTTCCTAATTTTGTGTAGAGCAAATGTTTAATCCAGAAAATTACAGGATAGTTAGATTGACCCTCAGATTTACGTTGTTTTTTGCCTTTGTGACTTGCTTCCAGTGTATACCCCCTAGCGCCAACCCCTGGGGTTTTAACATTAATTTATCACCATGAGTTTTTAGTTAACTCTTTGCTCTTCAACTGGCTTGGTATTCCTTCCCGCCTTTTGTCATCTACCAGTAAAAAGAAGGGGCAATGCATTTTTGTGTTTAGTTCTCGTTGTGGCTAAAATTCCCATTATTCGTTGAGAATATCAGATTGGTCATCCCTATTCAGTGCTGCTTGTTAAGCAGAGTGACATGGCATTTATATTTATTAAACCACGCGATGTAAACTAATTAAGTTATATACACCTCCATTGTATCATTTCTTCATGTCATTGCATGTTTATCCCCGGTATTCATGCTTGAATATGCCTGGCTAAAACGTGTCACTGATTCCGTGTTAGATCCGTGAACAATTCAATTTACCCGGGAAAATGT